AGTTAGTGGTTTAGAATATAATGATAAAGAACAGAACTTAAGTTGTGTTAGAACATTTTAATTTCAAAAAGAAATCATTGGAGCACTTGAACTAATGAACATTATCTTTATTTAAATGAATTTCAAAAAATCAATTTTTGCTAAGAAAGAAAATCCACCATTAACCAATTAATTGCTAACTCAGAATCTGAAAGATAAAAAGGGCCTTGGATGTATAATCCTTCCTAGATATGAAAAATATCTAATATAGTGGCTAGAACTTAGGAGGCACTCATTACAAAGGGCTATTATTTCTACTTGTTTTGTCACAGCACTCAAGTCACTATACTTTTGAATCTTTATTTTTTAATCTCTATTATTATTTCCCCCTCATAGTGTCATGTAATCAATTTGGTAATCATTCCTTCTATATGAAAATGAGTAATAAAATTAGACATTAGCAAGGCTGTAGCCTACAGAATACAGTTAGAAATCTTTCAGAATGAAATAGAATCATAATGAAACAGAACTAATAAGTTATAGGAAGAGTTAATCACGTAGTGTCAAAATCTAGCAAACAATCCTAGCATCTACACCACATTTCATTCATGGGATATCATAGTAAATTTGGTTAATACTTTAACAAAGATAAATATATGAACTATTTTATATGAATTTAAATAACAAAAATCTTTCCAAAATTTTATATTCCAAAGTTTTATAAAATTTAAATCATGAGCAGTTAAAAATTGATAAATCTTATTTTCTAAATGACTTACAGAAATTGCTAACACTACAGGAAAGTTATAGACTTTGAAAATGTTGGTCTTTGAAATTTTACTAGCGAAAAATAATCATAACGTATGAATAGGCAAAACAAATCACTATATATGTATTATATGCATGTACCTTTCTTTAGGGATGTGGCAACTGCATTATATTCTGCTGTATTTTTGCTGTTAAAGTCACAAGACTAAAGTTGTCTTCTCAGGCTGCTGCTCTTATGCACAAACAACAAAGTCATTGTCAGTATCGTTTACCGAGTTGGCTATCAGTCAGGAAATAAACAATGAAGCTAGGTTGTGGGCAGATAGGTTAGGGGACTATACTGTTTGCTCTGGTTACTTTCCCTGGAATCTGGTCTTTGAGGACAGCAGACTTCCAGGCACTGCATATTACGTTTGGATAATGGGTACACCAAGATGGCATCCATGACCTGGTGCTAGGACAGAACCTAATATGAGCCATCCGTTTTCCAGGTTACCATGCAGATAGAACAGGGCCATAACCAGAATATCTAGTTGAAAATCACACAATAGATTTGTTTTTGAATCACTTACAGCCTTCAACAAATTGTCTTAAGAGGTAATGTTGTACTGTGTTGAAGGGGACAAACAGTAGAGTCAGACTACCTGGGTGTAAATCCTGGCTAGCTGTGTAACCAATAGAGACATTACTTATGCACTAAGTCACAAGTTTCCTCATCTGTCAAACAGGGAAATAAAAACAAATACCTCACTGAGATTAGAGAGTAAATTACATTACAAATTATTTATAAAGGGCTAGTATGGTGCCAAAAAATTGCAACTGTTAAGTATATTTTTAAAAATTAGTTATCTAAGCTACCTCAGCTAAATATCAGTAAAAACAGGGTTGATTTTTCATGCTTGGGTTAGACTGTTAAAGTGAGAATGGCATCCTGCAACCCACCCCGCTCTCCCCATCCTCTTCAATATGACACCAACCACAGTTACAGTTTCAGAGCCAAGACATTCTGTCAGCCTTTCACATGACGTACTTTTTTACCAGTGCCAATACTGGAGGTTCTAGGCTTAATTCTTATGTTTTCCCTTTTTAGGCCACTGCATAACTGCCCAAAGCTGAAGCTATAAGTGTTTGTAGATTGAGGAAGAGAAAGGTGATAATTTTAGGAGGTTCAGGATACTTCAGAGCAAGTATGAAATTTGATGATCGGAAACAGTGAGTTCAGAGTGCCTAAGGAGTCTCAGCACTTCTGACACCATACGCTTCACATGGAAAACACAGCTCAACAGAGAGGTCTTCAGGAGATTCTATAAATTTTTTTCCAATGTTTCATTGACATTTTATGTTTCTTCAATAGCATATCTTATTCTAAGTCTTATTACAAAACCTGACATTAATGTAGGGAGATAAATTATGTCATTTTTAAAACACCGCAAACACTTCATAGTCTAAGGTGGGGCGGTCTCCATTTGAATGAACAAATTTAGAAGTGAGCTTTCCTTCTGTATAGCTTGGGATATATCTTGGGATATAAAAGACATTGAAAGATTACAACCATAAACAAACAAAATTATATGTAAAATAGAAGATATTAACCGTAGTTTTTGAAGATAAAAAATAATTATGCATAACTGCATAACTATCAAAGTCTAAAAAGTTGAATAAAGTTAACGTGGCCCAATAAATGTAAGTATAAAAACTGGCGTGACAAAAAAAACAGCAACTTATTAGTAACATAAAAATATGGCAAGACTATTATCAAAGAACTATCCTTTCAATAATGTTCTCAGTCCAAAGACATTTGTTAATGAGGTGTCACCTCACACCTGTCAGAATGGTCGCCATCAACAAATCATCAAACAACAAGTGTTGGCGAGGGTGTGGAGAAAAGGGGACTCTAATACACTGCTGGTGGGAATGCAGACTGGTGCAGTCACTATGGAAAACAATATGGTGTTACCTCAAAAAATTAAAAATTGAACTGCCGTTTGACCCAGTGATCCCACTTCTAGGAATATACCCTAAGAAGCCTGAAACACCAATCAGAAAGAATATATGTACCCCTGTGTTGTAGCAGCACTATTTACAATAGCTAAGATCTGGAAACAGCCCAAGAGTCCATCAGTAGACGAATGGATAAAAAAGCAGTGGTACATATACACAATGGAGTACTATGCAGCTGTAAGAAAGAAAGATCTCTTATCCTTTGAGACAACATGGGACCTGGAAAGTATTATCCTAAGTGAAACAAGCCAAGCAGAGAAAGACAAATATCACATTATCTTACTTATTTGTGGAATATAACAAACGTAACAGTTTGAGGAATGGGGTAGTCCCAGAGACGTGGAAGTGGGGTACAGACTGACAATCCCCAGAAGAAGGGGTGGTGGGGGATAGATAAGCCACAGAACTTATACGCATGTATGCATGAACAGTGGACATGGACAACAAAGCTGGGGACAGGGCGGGGAGGAGAGGAGGGGGGAATCAGTAGGTGAAAAGGGGAGAACATCTGTAACAAAAATAAATTGATTAATTAAATAGAAAAAACAAATTTAACATCGAAAGAAAAACAAAGACATTTGTTAAATGATGTCTTTCAAATATTCAAGCTCAGATATGCCATGATACATATACATTCAAAATACAGGAAAAAATGAAAGGTAGTCATTATATTTAACAAAGGAAACATAGCCTCAGAATAAAAAAATCAGATAAATTATTCCAAAAATTTAATTATGTACAGTCACTTGCATGCAAAGTAAAATTTCCACGTAACTAAATTCTAAAAGTTCTTTAGTAAACTATATGTAGGAAAGTCTCTTCTAACTCTTTTTTTTTTTTTTTGTACAGATAGAGTGGGAAGGAGAGAGAGGAAGGGAGAGAGAGAAACATCGACGTGAAGGGACACATCGAGTGGCTGCCACCCGCACGACCAACCAGGGCCGGGGACAAACTGCAACCGAAGTACGTGCCCTTAGCGGGAACTGAACCCGGGTCTCTCCGGACCGCAGGCCGACGCTCTAACCGCTGAGCCAAACTGGCCAGGGCTCTTCTAACTCTTTCTTTACATTATATAAAAGTATACAAGCTCTAAATTATGAAAATAGAATATACTATAAAAAAATTTGTTGAAAAAATATTATGCTCTAGTGCCAGTACATAATTAAAGTGATTTAACTATTACCAGCTGATTCGCTAAAACCCCACATATACAAAGAGGTAATTGATTCTCCATAGATAAAGAGCCCTTGCCCAAGAATAAACCACCTTATTTAAAAAATGACCAGAGGTGCTCAGTCAATGTTAATATGACTAAACAGGGTTCAATTTACAAAATGCAAACAATGTGGATACTACTTCTAAAAATTTTTACAATTTAATTTTACTATAGAGTAAACTTTATCAGTTCAGAAAAAGTAAATCTATTCCAGCTGCCTAGAAATTCATTCAATTTAATACAATGCAAGGTTTATGTGATAAAAATTTTGGAGAAAATAAGTAATATAATAACAGTATAATAAAAATTTTGGATTTAAATCAAAAATTAAATTTATTCTCTTTTCAAAAAATGGTGTCTTAAGCCTTTAGAAATTTTCAAAGAATATTCAAATTTTTATGACCAAAAAACCCTAGTTTATGTCTCCAAAGTTTAATTATATATTTTGTCCACACTTTTAAACTTTGAAAACATTAAAGTGAGTAATTCATTTCAAAGGATAGTCATAAAAACAAAAGGATTAATATAAAACACTCTTCATCACTCATTTTTACTGGGGGACAGGGGGTTACTAGAAAATTCCCATCAACTCAAGGACAGTACAGATTACAGGCTAAAAGAGTCAGTGTTTTAGAGAAGCATTTCCTTGAAATTTAGGGTCTTGATAATATTAGGAAGATGGAATAAAGGTAGGAAAAAATACAAATAAATCTCTATAGAAAGAAAATATCTAAAAAAATTTCCACGTATAAAATTGTACTATTTACGGCATAAATTGAACCCTATTTTTTTTAAGTAGAGCAAAAATAAAAATAGGAACAATTCACACAAGTCAGAGGAAGAACTGCAACCCCAATTTAACTGATTTTTAATAATTATTGCTCTGAGTTTAGAAGAAACACAGCCCAAGTGATTGTTCAGCATAGGAATAACAAATTAATATATACAAATGCAATGCATTAGATAATTTTTTGGTATTGAGTTAACATTGCATATAGCAAAAATTAGAAACAAAATAGAAATTTCTATTTCCTACCTATATCATTGGCTACCATCTTGGAAAACTTTCTGCTTTTGGTCTTCACTGAAAATAATATTTTGATATAAAATGTCAAAATCTATTCAAAGTAAACTAAATGAATTAAACATAATTAAAATAAATACTTTAAAATAAAGATACTATACCCTTTTCTATAAAATTATTCATTTTTTGTTCATCATCTGAATTGTGTGGTGATGACGAACCTACACAAATAAAGACAATGGAAGGAACAGGTAAACAATCAGTCACAAACACTGAGTTGTCACAGGGAAAAGTACAAACAAAATAATCTGGTAACCTCTAAAACAAGTTCCCACATGATTGGTCACAAAGTAATGTTAAAATGTGTATAGTTAACAATAATTCTTATAATATTACAGCAAGTATAGCAATCAGTAGTGCACTGTCTTTCATTTTAGACCAATCCCTAGTATATACAAATATTACTCTATTAATATTTTTTCTAAGTTACAACCATTGGGCAAAATTGTGCTATATATTATAAGTTAGAGAGCAGATAAAGAAAAATATAAGCAGAGGTTAACTAATTGTTTCTAAAAAAAATATAAAAAATTCTTGATATTAGTTATCTTGTAAGGTTTATCGAACCGAAGAAGGTTTAAGAATCCTGTACAAGTACTATACTGGTAAAATTTATTTTAGAGTTAGCTTTCTAGATAAAAACTTCAAAATAATATACAAATTCTACTATTACCATAGAGACCTTTAAAATACTGAGGATAATCTTTATAATTTCAGCTATGTTTAAATATTTATTTAAATTTATAAGGTAAGAAATACTAAATTTTATGTCACCTGTCACTTTAATCATTTTTTTTTAAGAGAGAGAAAGAAAGAGAAACACTGATGTGAGAGAAACATTGGTTGCCTCCTGTGTGCTCTCTGACCAGGGATCGAACCCATGACCCAGGTTATTGCCCGGAGTGGGAATTGAACCCAAAACCTTTTGGTGTACGGGACGACTCTTCAACCAACTGAGCCACACCAGGCAGGATAATAATTTTTATAATTATGATTTTGTCATTTTCTTTAAAAAGGTGTTTCTAATCTTTCATACTATTTCTTTAACTTCTAACACATATCTTTTATTGTAAATGCAATCCTAACTTGTATTCTAGTTGACTTTTATTAGAATTAAACTATTCTTTATAATACAGTTTAAATGATATCTCACCCATTAAACTTTTCAATCTCCTCAGCTGCAAATAAATCATTCACCTTCCTTAGAATTCCCATAACACTTTATCTGATGTTAATCACTTAATACCTTACACTTCAAGTTTACACACATCTGACCTTCCCCACTGATCTTTCAGTCCCCACTGGACTGAACTTCTGAGAAACTGGTCCCCCAACTGCTTTACCTTTGCACCCCCTATGCACTCAGTGCAATGTTTTGCCTGTAGAAATCACTACGTAAACATTTACTGAGAGAATAAAGCTTTTCTATTAGAAGCAAATACCTCAAACATAACTGGTTAAAAAATAAAAAAGGTTTTTCTCTGCTTTTATTTCCTTTTTTTAATCCCAGTGAAAGTACTGAACCTTAATAAATAAGGTCAAAATGTGACCTCCCCTTGTGTCACAAAATTGTACTTGCTTTTTTTGGTCATGTGGAAAATATCCTTGAGATGTCTTTTCACAGACCAAGGAAAATCTGCCAACATTGGCAGAATCCAATTACTTTATAATAGTCTAATTAAAATAGTAATTAAAAAAATTACTCTTTAAAAAACCAAGTAATATTTGCTAAAGAGCATTTATAGATCCTCATAAATCCCATATTAAAAAGGTCAAATAAGTATTTTCAGAAATAGAAATAACATGCTTGTTTTCATATAAATATAATTCAGATTTAAAGAGGATAATTGTTATAAGATGCTATATATTTGAAAATATCACTGTCATCTCTGCTACTACCTATAGCTACATGAATACACAACATTTATTGATACTTGTTTTATTTCATACATTTGAAAGTAGAGCAGTAGCAAGATAACATATCTAAATGTAAGTATAAAATTATAAATGTTTAGTATTTCCATAATTGTAAATTAAAAGAGCAGATTTATAACTGAATATGCCTTAACTGAAAATGCCTAACACTGCTTATCATACTTCTGTGATTTCTCATGAAACAGTTCCAAAACTGTTTTCAGCATGTCTTACTTGAATATATTTACCAAATTACTATGATTAAATAAACACAGAAAATATATACAGCTTTATATTTTTTCTAGGGTAAATGGCAATTAACAAAGGCAACATTTATATCATGGTTTGTGCAGCTTTTTCAATTTGAAGTAACCTAACAAATGTTTTTACCATTTTAACATAAATACACACACACACACACACATTTTGAATACAGTGCTAAAAAACTAAACTTTCAACACTACTAAAGTGCTTAGTGAAGCAATGTGTTTTTTTAAAATAAAGATTAAAGAGAGAAAGAAGTAATACTTTCCAATGTTAATTCAAGGTGGCAGAATTAATTTTATATTTCCGAGACTGATTTATTTACAAATCAATGGGAAAGGCAAATTATTTTTTAATATAACTTTGACACTGACTAAAATTGTTAAGATCACAAATCTTGATTATGATATTTAAAACCTTTTAAAAAGTATCTCTTCGTTTATATGTATCATTTTGAGTAAATACATTGATTTGATAAAGGGCATATTCATTTTTATAATACTGGTCCCTCCTCTTAATATTTGAGGAACTCACTTTAACTTCTAACCCACTGTTACACATTTCCTCTTCTCTCATTGATACAATTTTCTATTAACTATATTAATTTTAATAATCTATACTATATCATTTATTTGTCTTATTTTTTCCCTCAACAAATATGAGGCTAGTAATTTAATTACCACTTTCAATGGTTTTAATAACGTGGTCCTCTTGTGGTTTTTTACATTCACCTCAAGCTTACCCCCACCAATTTTTCTTTTCTGACCATCTTAAATTAGTAGAATTTGCATGTGTTGGTGAGAAGAATGATAATAAATTATTTCTTTATTTCCTTATTAGAATGCTAGTAGGAACAAAGGCAAAAGTTATAAATGTACAAATAGCAAGACAACTGGCCCATGATAGGTAGCAAAAACTACTTTAACTATTTAAAAACAGAGAAGCAGTGAAAGACACAAAATGTAACAATATAGGGTTATTTAAAAAGGTAGGTTTCCAGAATTTTATTCTAGTTCCTGTTGTACTTCTTAGTACGTATGTATGACTAATGTCTATCTCCTGCTATATGAAGCATGTTTCAGGCACAACTACTATCTACTCAAGTTTGAATTGTTTTTTGTAAAAGGAGCCTTTCTTCATATGCAGAAATAGATACAACTCTTTGGAGAATGCTCTTATCTTTCAGAGCATAATCAAGAACTAAACTAAATAGCCCTGGCCGGTTTGGCTCAGCGGTTGGAGCGTGCGTCGGCCTGCGGTCCAGAGAGACCTGGGTTCGGTTCCCGCTAAGGGCACGTGCCTCGGTTGCAGTTTGTCCCCGGCCCTGGTTGGTCGTGCGGGTGGCAGCCACTCGATGTGTCCCTTCACGTCGATGTTTCTCTCTCTCTCTTCCTCTCTCTCCCTCCCACTCTATCTGAACAAAAAATGGAAAAATGTCCTCGGGTGAGGATAAAAACAAAAACAAAAACAAAAAAAAACAACAAAAAAAACCTAAACTAAATAAACTAAGATTCTTATATATAAAATAAAGATAAGTATTTGTGACTTATTGATGTTATTTTAGGTCATATAAATTTTTCTATGTTAAAACTACACTGTCTTTTCATATGGACCAAAGAGCACAATATACTTGAAAGTGTTAAACTATGTTTGATTTCTCTGGGACAAAGAAGAGACAATTTAGAAGGTTTTTATCTGATGCAGTTTTTATATTTACGCACTCAGATTTAAATATACTTATACACTTATCTATAATTACCTTTTGTTGGGTTATTCCAAATTGCTAAATATACACACCTATTGAAAGTTTGCCTTAGGATAAAAAGCAGTATTAATTTATTTGGCCTGAATCTTATTAAAAGTGGTCATTTAATATATTAAAAGATAATATGTTTCATGTCCAAATTATTCAATGATATTATAATTCTAAATTCCAAATTCAGAAATAACACTAGATCTATAAGATGGAAAATGTAGTTACTTGCTCCATATTATTCATTCAAACTTTATTCTACCAATGCTCAGACTTAATATTAGGTGCTAATTATAAAAATGATTCCAATGGTTCAATATGTTTTATTAGTTTGATGACTGAATTTAAATAAAAATTAAGAAAACTAGAAGGTGGATATATTTTAAGAAATGATTCATGTACACAATATATATATATATATATATATGTAATTTTTTTTTAATCCTTACCCGAGGACATTTTTTTCCCATTTATCTTCAGATAGATTGGGAAGGAGGGAGGGGAGGAGGGAGGAGGAGGAGAGAAAGAGAGAGAGAGAGAAACATCGATGTGAGAGAGACACATCGACTGGTTACCTCCCTGACCAGGGCCGGGGACAGAACCGCAACTGAGGTATGTGCCCTTGGCTGGAGTCAAATCCACAACTCTTTGGTCTGTGGACTGACTCTATAACCACTGAGCCAAACCGGCCAGGGCAGGGAATGCATTTTTAAAAAGAAAACATCACAAAACCTTTTACAGTCCTATATCTAATAAAATGTTAAAGTGAAATATTAGAGAGTAAAGTAAAATGCAGTATTTCTCGTTCTTTAAATTCTTTCTGATTTAGTAGAACCAGCTAAGGGTCAGAATCTAAGTACAACATTACCTTAAGCTAAGAACAATCTTTCCAGTAGAAAAGTTGATGAAAATTCCCAGCCAGAATGATTTAGTAAATATGGTAAAATTATGAAGTCAATTTTATTAAAGATTAGCAAAGTTTCAAATCACTGAAAATATAAAAAATTTCAGGATCTTCTTAATTTTATGAAGACTCAAAAGTTAAAAGTTACTCTAAAATATTAAAATATTAATACACAAGTAGGTTACATAAATAACTATAAAGAAAGGACAACTGCTTTAATATAGCTATAAAATTATATTAGACATTCCCTGATAAAAAATAACAAACATAAGTAGTCTACATTTATTCTAATTGTCTATAGTCCCCGTAAGAGTACAATTATTAAAAATCTTTCATAGTTAAATGGACATTACTTGAGGGTTAGTGTTTCTGCCAAATGATGACAGGCATGCCTAGAGCAAAGACAAGACTAGATAACAACCATTTGATCCAATAATAAAAAGTAAAATCTATTTTCCCTAAAAAAGTATAACTACTAGAAACCTAAGTAAATAGTTATATGACTCTTAATAAGTAAGAACTGTAGATTTTTAAGTAAGAACTGTAGATACATATCTACTTATGTATTTCACTCAATGAGAAAGCAAAAAACAGTTATGATTTTAAGAATAAATATGTGACACCAAAGTTCTTTACAGTTATATTTTAAATGCCTATCTATACTATAAAAAGGAATACTGATAAGCTATGCTGGTTTTTGTAGAATTATAATTATGAATGAAATAAAACATAAATTACCGGAAGTTGGAGATTTGCAGCGATCCTCTGGAACTACAGTACCTTCACTAATATCACACAGACCTGCTAAAAAAAACATAGCCAAAAACCAAATCACACCACAAATTTATATAAATGCAGTTGTATCTATTATTTGTAGTACACATTTAATGACTATTTATAAAAACCTAGAAGATTAACAGACACTTGGCATTGATACTATGCTAATTAGTCTTGAGGTAGAAACAGGAAAATGTTGATATTAAAACCCTCAAACTAATACAGCAGTCATCGCCTAAACAAATAAGAAACAGAATTTTCAATGGATAATTTGCTATTTTTCAAGAAACATTAGACATAATGCAAGACTATTTAAAATCAGTAATCTGACGGGCATATGATATAATTATTAATTAATTTCTCTGAGGAAGAATAAATACTGGTAATAAGTTTGGTGACTATTACATCATAAGGACTCTCAACTCAAGGTGGTTTCCCCTATTTATGTCTCTAACACCTCCCTTAAGTATTTTTGAATAATAATTAAAAATATATTTTGTACCTCCACACCTGCAATTTTAAAATATTGCACATTACTTATCTTGCAAGGCGACACCTCTTAAAAACTATACCATCACATGTTTTAAAAGCTCTAGAGTAACACTTTCTTTTTACAGATACATGTGAATTATTTAAAACTAATCTATCTATAGTATGGCCTAAATTCACAGGAGAAAACCCAGCAAATTTATGCTGCAGATAAGAACTAAAAGATGTGGCAAATGCAAAGTAAACAATTAGAAGGATATTAATTTGCCTGGTGAACTAAATAAAAATAATTCCTGCAAATTCTTTAAAAATTACAAATAAACACATCAAAAGTTTGGCACAGTTGGACAATAGACAAGGTGCCACACATCTGGGCTTCTGAAAAAGTTATGTATCATGTAGACCAGCAATTTTCACCCTTTTTACCTCATAGCACACATAAACTATTGACTATAAAATTCTGTGGCACACCAAAAAATATAGTATATTTTTTCTCGGACAAAAAAAAAAAATTGGTATAATTTTGATTCATTCACACCAGATGGCTGCAATTGTTGAGTTGGCTGTTGTCATTTATTTTATCTGATAATCTAAGGTAAAAGATGTCAGTGCTCTTGAATAGTGCACTAGTCAGGTAGTGCATGTTTTAAAAATTAAAACATGCCTGCCCTGGCCAGTTTGGCTCAGCGGTTAGAGAGTCGGCCTGCGGTCCGGAGAGACCCGGGTTCGGTTCCCGCTAAGGGCACGTACTTCGGTTGCAGTTTGTCCCCGGCCCTGGTTGGTCGTGCGGGTGGCAGCCACTCGATGTGTCCCTTCACATCAATGTTTCTCTCTCTCTCTCCCTTTCTCTCTCTCTCTCCCTTCCTCTCTCTCCCTCCCACTCTATCTGTACAAAAAATGGAAAAATATCCTCGGGTGAGGATAAAAATTAAAACATGCCATGGTGCTGGTCTGATAAAACTTTATTTGCAAAAATGGGCAGTGAGCCAGACTTGACCCACAGATAAGTAGTTTGTTGAAAATCGCTGACGTAGACATATGTGCAGATATAACTAGTATCTACTTTTCCATTCCTTTGGTAAGAGACATGATGTCACAATGTCTATAGTCATCAAGAAAACTCTTACAGTAATATTTTCAGAGAGCACTAAGTACTGAATTGGTTTATAAGAAATGTTTTCTATTTTGAACAATACATTGTCTTCATTGGATAGAAAGTTTTTGAATGACAATCAGATTTCTTATCAAGATTCATCAAACTAGTATTTCCAGAAAAAAAAAAGTTTTTATAGTTCTAAAATGACAGATGCAATTACAGGAATGGATTTAATCTTTGCCAAAATATTTGTTTATATAAACGACAGGTCTTTAAATAATAATAATATATGGTAGCAAACTAAACAACCTAAGTATCCATCGATGAATGCATGGAATAAGAAAATGGGATGTACACACACACACACACAAAATGAAATATCACTAAAAAGATCGAAATTGTGCCTTCTGCAACCACATGGATGAACCTCAAGGGCATTATGCTAAATAAAATAAGTTAGAGGAAGACAAAATACCTTATGATCTCACTTATATGTGAACCTACAAAAACAAAAAGTAACACAAAACAAAACAAAATAACACAAGCTCATAGATACAGAAAACTGGTGGTTGCCAGAGGTGAGGGGATGTGGTAAAATTGTTAAAAGTATTTGTGTCTCCCCCAAAACTTCTCTATCTTGACAATGTTCTAACTTTATAACACTAAATATTAGTTTTTTTGCTTTATAAAGAAAGTAGATTGGGATACAAACATTTCAACAGCTGTTTTCATATACATATTTTGAGATGAATTTAAGTAATGATATATTATTTAATAAGCTTTTAAAAACTACATGGGGAAAAAAACAATTTTACAGACAAAAGCAAACATGCCATGATTTTACTAAATAACTTACTTAAAAAAGAATGGCGTTTTTTTCAGAGTCAGAATATGAGCTAGAAAGGCCGTGCATGCAAGAAGTCACACCCAGCATATCTTTGTGAAGCAATGAAAAATGGAAGAAAGAGGAGACATAGATACTAGAATGGTATGGCTGAAGATGTGACAAAATGATTACACGCACAAACAAAAATGGGGAAAAAAACTCAACCAACAAGATAGTAAGGTCTATATGCCATCACCTTTTTTCTTCTTTTATGAATTGTGCTATATAGGTAGTATCACAGAGAGAATTTTAATTCAGAGGTATTGAGTAAGGAGATATAGACCAGAGTTTCCCAGTGTTCCATTGTGCACTGGCATTCTGCAAATGGGTTAAATTTGTCCAAGACAGAGTTTCCTCAATCCTTGGTACAGCAAGGCAGGTCCTGGGGAGACTGGAGCCTGTAGGCCAGTTTATTGCTGGAGGCCTCATTAAAATACCCCTATGTGCCAAAGATCCAGTGCAATTTTGTGTGTGTGCATGGAGGTTAAAGAAAAAAAAAAAAAAAAAGGTGAGGAGTACTGGTACAGAGAGCTAACTATACATGTGTTCCATGAGCTATTAGTATTAAAAACATTTAAAATTAAGACTGATTATCTAACAAACAGAACAGTGTGTTATAAAGAGAATTCTTAATGGATCTGCGTTTGCACTGATTGAATCAAGGCTATCTGAGAACACTATATTTTCATAGAACTGAAATTCACTTTTGCATCTACTTTTTCACACAGGATATGAGAGTTTTTAATTAAATAGTTGAAAAAATTAATTGTGGGCCTCACAATACCAAACAATAAAAGGGGTAAAACTTAGAAGTACAGTTTTGTTCTATGATAATGAGACAAATTTTCCTGGCTTTATAATTTAGCTAAAGAAGTTTGATACCGCAGTTCTTTTTCAATGTTAAATGAAATCCTAGAATATTAAAAACAAAAGCAAAATCTAATAATACAAAACAAAGAGGCTCAAACCTTTTACCAGTTTTTAGTAGTTTATACATTATAGACTAAATTAGACAAGTTATTTACCTAACAGAAGCACTTATATTCACAGAAGTAACTCATTTATAGAAATCTTAAAACTCAGAATTTTTTTCTTTTTACCTCCTGAAGGTTGTCGAGATTTACGAGGAGACCGGGGTTCTCTCCGATAAGGATCATTAGAGCCATATAATTCAATAGTGCCCAGGTTGAGGAGTACTGCTTTCTGTAGGTAGTCAACAACTGCAATGCCATTACAATTGCCAAAAACTACCCTAGAATAGGAAAAGAGCAAATATTTTAGCATAAATAATAATTACAAGAAAGTATAGTCTATTATCTAAAAAAAGAAGCATAATGGGTCTTAGAGAATATTCCTCTTTAAACAAGATTATAACAGACATAAAAATATAGTGACACACAGCTTCTCTTGGAACCGTGTAGATCTTTTGCAGACATTAATGATTACAAATCAGTATCATTAAAAAATTCTGACGAGTTGCAACTTGATCAGAGGCATAAATTACTACACTAGGCAATGTGAGACCTATTTTTGAGCCTCTCAGGGAAGACATTTCCTTCCCCTGGGAAAGCAGGGACTGTATCTTTGGAAAAGTTTTGGTAATCAGCAATGAATAAATAAATTTTATTCGTTTAAGATCCCTTAAGCCAAGAATTGAAAATTGAAATGCATAGACGGGCTACATAAGTAAGTAAAACAAGCAGGTAAGGATGGTGGTAAACTGGATAATGTACTATGACCATCAAAAGAAGAAAAACTTCAACTTGGTTCCTGCTGACTTTTGTCAAGCAACAATGGAGACACAGTTCAGATAGATTGTTTCTGTGGAAACTCTAACTATGGATTTTCACATCAAATAGTCTTGGCAATTAGTTCAAATTTTAAAAATACACAATAAGGGCTAAACAAAATACAACTGTGAGCCAAATGAGGCCTGTGATCAACTGCTTTGCAACTTCTTTTGAAACTTCCTATTCTTTTTCTTATCCCCTCTTTGTTTCATTTATGGTTGTGGGCAGTAAAATATTAAAGGAGAAAGTTGGTGTCCTTACATTGTGGGACAGCAAATAAAAGACATGAAAGAAAACTAGTTTTTTCTTTTCTAAAAAATATGTTTTTATTGATTTTTTAGAGGAGGGAGGGGATAGAAACATTGACGTGAGAGAGATACTTCGATTGACTGCCTCCAGCACCAACCCCCGCCCCCACCTTTGGGATCAAGCTCACGACTCAGGCATGTGCTCTGACCAGGAATCAAAACGAAAACTCTCAGTTCAAGAAACGAGTCTCAATCCACTGAGCCACACTGGCAGGGGAGGAAAGTATATCAGACAATAGCTAAGTCTTAGTTTGGTACACAACTGCAAGAGACAGAATAGGTGGTAACAGCTACAAGGAGGAAGAAGACGGATGAGTAAGTCCCTAGGGTTAGCATCAAGAAAGGAGACTGTGACCTACACACAATAAACAGCCCCAGGACTGAAGAGTTACCATGTGGTGTCTCTTTACCACGATGTTGATTTTAAAACGAATATAAACATTGTAATAAAAAGTATGTACAATTAACACTATACTTGGAAGGCATGAACTATTAATAAGTACACCTGTACTACAAATGAATTACTATGTTTTTACAATCTATACAAGTTAACTTGGAAGTAGAAAGAACAAAATATGTAGCTGTGGTTGATCAATTACAGAATCAGTTTAGTACACAATTTTATGGGTCGATGGCATTAGACCTCCACTATACTGATTAATAATGGGAAATTATTTCTGAGAATACATCCAGGAGAGGATACAGTGACTTTAAACCTTTATCTCAAATAATTCACTGGTCCTTGAGTCACCTGACCTAATATCAGGAAGCAATAAAACCATACCAGGTACAACTATTCAGAACAGAACTGTGTTCCAAATAAACAGTGATTTGGTCTGAAGGTAAAGTTATACAATAACTTTTTAAATGATGCAATAATAAATATCGTGATTTCTATTAAAAAATTTATGAAATTCTATAATGAGACAGAAAAACACACAAATTATACTTACAATCCATAGGAAGAATTGACTGACAGGCTGGTTATTTGTTGTGGTGGTTCTCCACCCACCCATACCAACTGAATAACTAGTTCTGTCTGATAACCTGGTGACTGTTTAAGTGGTGAATTTTTAACTCTGTAATAAAGGAAAACATGTTAACTTTTATATCTGATTAGCCTATGTAATTACAGAATCATGCATTAATAACTACACAAAACAACTGTTTATGAAATTATACTAGATACTTTAAAAAGTAAAAACCAGAATTCTATCCTCTAGAAGTATTTAATCTAACATGTACATGAGTAAAAAAAAAAAAAAAGAAAAGAAAATTCTATGTAAGTCTGACATATACAGTGGGGCAAGCCGCAAGGGTGGGCGGAGAAAACGAGAAGGGGCAGGACGGGGAGGGAGGGAGGGAGGGAAGAAGGGCAGGGCGGGCTGGGGAGAAGGAGCAGCAGCAGCCCAGGCATAAAGAAATAAAAAATGCAAGTTGAAAAGCAGACTTAAAACTTTAAAACACGGTTTAACTAAATAAAAACTGGCCAAGAACATAAGTTAAAGAATGAGTTTTTGTTTTCAAGTGAGATATTTACTTTTGTGTGTGAGCATTAATGGAACCAGAAACCTCTCGGTGCATAGGACAATGCCAAACCAACTGAGCCACACTAGCCACGGCAAAGTGAGAACATTTTTGATTACACAGATGCTTTCTCCAATAATTGCTCTTTTAAAACATATGCAAAGCATGGTCACTTCAACAATTTTGAGGATTCTGACTTAGAGTGACACTGTATGAAAGAAGAGCAGTAGGAAGACAACACTGAACCGCCTGATGTCAGACTCATAGGCTTGAATTTTTAAAATCATTTGGTTGGTACTTCTAGAGAAGAAGACCATGACACCTGACCTGTTACTGCAATATTTGCTGGACTCACTCTGGAAAAAAAAAAGGGTGAGTACTGTCCAAATTCCAGGGTAAATGTGAATCACTAAGGGTACTTCTAATATTGAATTACTCACTTCTGCCTATGCAAAGTCTGCAAGGCAGTACACTCAGAACTGTACAACGGCTGAGGCAGTGGTTCTGATTTTTCCCAGGGAAATACCCATTATTCAGCTGCAGCTGTCCATCTCAACACAGAAATAAAGACTGACTAGCATTTTATCTCCACCATCGATAGCCTCTGTCGACATAAGCATAAGCCAAAGAATCTAAGTGTACTATTTTCTCCTTGTACGAATTAGGTTAGGTTCAAAAAGTGTCCACCTTCCCTCTGGCTTATTTAACATGTGTATTAGAACAGATTCTCAAGAGTAGTAATAGCTATTTCAGGGATAATATTTGAAGTACATTTATTGGGTTGTATGGGTGGCAACCACTCGATGTGTCCCTTTCATGTCGATGTTTCTCTCTTTCTCTCTCCCTCCCACTCTATCTGAACAAAATATCAAAAAATGTCCTCGGGTGAGGATTAAAAAAAAAAAAAATTAGAAACCAGATCAAGAAATTACAGAATATGTATAACTTAAAAAATACAAAATGGGGAGTGGGTAGGTGTTATGTTTTATGTCTATAATGATTACATGCAAGTTATCATTTTAATGTTTTGATATATGTAAATCAATTTGTTCACTTTTTAAAAACAAGGGGTTAAATTTTTATAAAAAGTACCTTAATTTGTACAAATGTATTTTAAATATCAAAATAATGTTTGGAGACTTTGCAGTTTCAAATCAATTGTCTGTTTTGACAAATGCCCTGCAAAAGCACAATTAAAATACTTAAGTAAAAACATAAAACTTTATTGGTAAAAGTTTTAAACCAAATGGCTGTTTTCAAAATGTTTATTCCAAAAAATACCCCCAATTAGGTACAAAGGTACTTTGTAAAAACAAAACAAAGTCAGTATTAGTTACTGTAACAGCAACTTGGTTATATGTCTGACTTTTAAAAACTGGCTTAAAACAATGTGAAGTTAGTAACTGTATTTACCTAAAGATTACTAAAAGGAAAAAAATGAAGTATAACTCAAATTGTCTGTGACAAAAAAGGTCACTAATGAATATGCATTCTACACAAAAATCTCAAAAATGTTACCAAAACAAACCTAAAAAAATTGTACTTTATGTGCTTCTAAAAATTAAATTTAACAAAAAGCTGGTGTGGTTTAGTTGGTTGAAGCACTGTCCTGTGCACTGAAGGTTCATGGGTTTGATTGCAGGTAAGGCACATGCCTGGGTTGCAGGTTCGGTCCCCAATTGGGGCACACGCAACCAATTGATGTTTTTCTCTCTCTAAAATCGGTAAAACATATTCTCAGGTAGTGATTAAAAAAAAAAAAAAGGTGGAGAAATAAACATCAAAATCAGTAAAAAAGGCATTAATGGAAATTTTACAAATTTAAGTTTAAATTAAAGTAATACTGAACATGTAATAAAAGGGAAGAATATAGAATTCTGTATTTTCAAGTCCTATTCTAGGTAAACATGTGCAAGAACTACAGCATAAAGGAGCTGTGAGTATATGTACGGGGGTGGGGGGAGAAGGGAGGAAAGATATTTGAGACCTTTCTGAGCATGTAGTTGCTTAAATTTAGGGCTTACAGTTTTTCAATCAGATGACAGTTTCTCATCCTTGGCACCACTGGCATTCTGAACTGGATAACTTTTTTGCTCTAGGGCACTACCCTGTGCACTGCAGGGTCTTTAGCCTCACCCCTGGCCTCCATGCACTAAATGCCAGTAGCATACCAATTCCCCCTGGTGTGACAATAGTATCTCCAGACACTGCCCAGTATATTGCCAAATGTTTCCCAAGGAGCATAATCATCCCCATTTGAGAACTATTGGCATAGAATAAACAATCTCAAATTTAGGTAACATATAAAGATTTTTTTAAATTTTATTTTAAAAATAATTGTGATATAAAAAAATCTGTCTTATCTTTGTGGTGAATGCATTTTTGATTACACAGACATTCTCCACAGCAACTGTTGAAAAATATTCATCTAAAGCAAAACAGTACAAAGCCTAGTTCTTTAACAAATGCAAATTTCTCTCTTACCACTCTCCTTGCTTAGAATCCACTACAGCCTGGCTTTTGCCCCCTACTCTTATAATTGAATCTCTTTGACATTTTCCATATCCACTTTTTAGTCATTATCCTGTCTTCTCTGTAAATGTAATACTTTTAATCACACTTTTCATAAAATTGTTCAATAATTTAAACTCTTTCCTCATTGTTTTATTTCTCTGAAATATTTAAGGCCCATACCCTTTGACAAATTTTACCATTAATATAAGTTAAACAGAAAAAAGGAAAACTTTGTTGGCAAGAGAAGATTCAGAAAAAGACAAGGAAATCATTACAAAACAACTGAATTTGGAATGACTGAATAAACAGAATTTGCAGAATGGTAGAAAGCAGTTGAAACATACATTTCAGCTACATATAAATTCAGACTAAAAAAATCAAGATTAAGCTACAGATACAAGAGGAAAGAACTACAGTTAGTCCACTGTTTGAAAATAAAATCTTACTACTTTAAGGATAAAATCATGGAATACAATCATATTCCTCTTAATGTCACAGAAAAATAAGTTGGATCAAAGAAAGTAAAGCATAGGCAGAGCTGTACTTATGCCATTTTACTTCATGACAGAAAAATGTTACCACTGCTTTACTACTGCATACAATTTATCTAAATTAAAAGATAATTTCTAAAATATGTGGTTTTTTTTAATAACTTACTTTAAACAAGGGACATTATCTCGAAGGCCATCAGAGGAGCTGCTGCTGGTGGAAGGGTGAGACTGAGGAGGGATGGGCTGAGGACTGGGAGCCCCCACTGGTGTCGGCAGAGGTGGTGCCTGCTCACCCTCCGGGGATTCCACATCATTGATCTCATACAACAATCGAACTTCAAGCATCTGTCGTTAAAGAAAGATAGCTTACTTACTCCGGATAAATATGGTTCATTCTTTACAGTTTACACACAGATGTACACTCTAGTGGAAAGAACATTTTTAAAAGATAAAGATTAGCAAGATTTCTAAAGATAAGGATTTAGCAAAAAAAAAAAAATTGTTTCTGACTCAGCTTTTAAAAAATGTGTCTGTATGCAAGTATACACATACACACACACACGATGAATTTAGAATTTATAGCAATCTGTTAATACCAAATTAGAGTATGCTCATACTTTGATTAGCTTTCTTCAAATGAAACAATGTATAAGAATTTAAATGTTTCAGTAAGAAGGTATGCATAAAAATATACTATTTTTCAAAATAAAAGGATGATGGTCATATAAATACTGAGGTGCTTTTAAAAATTCTAGACAAAACTGACTGCAAATAATCTGCTAAATAATATTTAAAAATTTTAAAACGTAAGACATCTGACATTGAAAATAACCACGAGACCATTACCGGGATGACTTCTACAATAACTTCTTGTTTGCTGAATCTGTAAATAATGACATGAGCTGAAACACCGGCTATGCATAGCATTCTACTTTCGGGACACCAGGAGATGATCTGAATGGCATACGGATCTTCATCTACAATGTCTGTGTTTGGCTTGTCATCTTTATTTCTTGACTTTTCAAATACTTTAGCTGTCTTTAGTTTATATAATACTTGTAGAGTTACTAGATAAAAGATAATATATGTTAAATAATAAAATATAAAAAGGACAAATATAAGGTAATAGTCAGCTATACTATGTAAGAAAATAGCCTATATTTATTAGAACCATATTTTTATTCCTAGATCTATAGTTCTCTGTTATACATGTTATACAATTTAGATAATGCATTCACTGTACTCATTGACCAAAAAAAAAGTGTATTCATTTTTTTAAAAAATCACTATCATGATGAATTTAGATAACCTGAAAAAAATGAGTTACAAATATTTTGTATAAAAAAGAATATAATTAAAATAATATAGAACATTTTGCTTCCTATAATGATTTTCTAATATTTTCTCTACAAAAGATAAGGTTATCTAACACTTCTACAGGATGAAACATAACATATCCTAAGTTAACTGGATTCTGAGTGCTTGCTATGTATGCTTTGTAAACATTAGCCATTCAAAGCATTGTTTCCTTTTTTGCCATTTTATAACCACCATAAATATCTAAAGAGAACACAAATTTTGTGGTATAAGTTTAGAATCAGGCATTAAAATTATTCTATAACCCTCGCCGGTTTGGCTCAGCAGTTAGAGCACCTGCCCGTGGACCAAAGAGTCACAGGTTTGATTCTGGAGAAGGGCACGTGCCTCGGTTTCAGTTCGATCGTGGCCCTGGTTGGGGTCATGTGGGAGGCAACCAATCGATGTGTCTCTCTCACATTGATGTTTCTCTCTCTCTCTCGCCCTCCCTCCCACTCTATCTGAAAATCAGTAGAAAAATATCCTTGGGTGAGGAATTACAAAAAAATATTATTCTACAAATTTTTGTTGATTTAAAACATATGCCTGCTTCTCCTATCTCTTGAGTTAGGAAGAGGTGGTTTGAAGAAATTTTGAAGAATCTGAGTACTTCTGTTAAGAAGTAGTAATTAATATCTTGAAGAATATCTTTATTAAAAATCTTAAACTTCAAAGGAGGGGGCGAGGGGAGGGATGAAATAAGTCAAAGAACTTATATGCATGTGTGCGTAACCAATGGACACAGACAACAGTGCTTGTGGGGTGGGCGTGGGGGCAGGATAGGGAGTTGGGTGTCTTGGGGAAAAAAGGAGAAACATCTGTAATAAAAATAAATAAATTAATTTAAAAAATAAATAAATAAAAATCTTAAACTCAAGTACTTGATAGGTATTACATTTATAGCCTCAAAATTTCAAATTAAATGCTGGTTATGCAATTATTACAATACAGGTTGTTTAAAAGCAATATACAACGTATAACATACAATGTTAATATAACTTATAACATTATTCAAAATACTTACTTGCAGAAGCATCCCAGAACTTAATAGACCCATCAGCATGCCTATGAGAAGCAAATGAGTTAAGAATGTAATGAAAAAAATTACACTTTTACTTTCTTTAAAGTATATTGTTATTTAAAAAGATAGTCAGCAAAATTAGGAAAAAGATAAAAGGGTAAATTGACAGGTTACAGAAAATAACTATTTTCTTTTTATGTTAAAGCATAAGCAGAAGCACTACCTGCTCAACTAATTAATACTTATGTAGTCTGAATTATATTTAGCTATTATTGATTTATTTAGTGAAATAGACTTTTACTTACCCTGTAATAATTATTTCTGGGTAACTTTGAGCACCCAAGCCCCAATTACCTCCATTGATGGGCCATTCCTGAAAGAAAAGATTATTGTATAAAGCAACTTCCAAGCATACCATACATCTTCATATATATCTACGACAACAGTAAACATACTTTGCTTTCAATAAAGATTTTCTATATATTTTAATTGGAAAGGATTCAGTGTTGTTAAACACTTCAAGGTGATAAGTATAAAATACTGATATATTAATATTAAATACTAAAACTCATGTTAAATACCTTTTTGCTGTAACCTTGACGTTTCTGTCTAGCTCCAACAGAATAAAGTGCAGGAATAAGGTCCACAGGACAATCAGCAAAATATTCACAACATGTAACAGGGGATTCATGTATACTCAAAGGGTAGGGATTTTCAAATATAGGATATCTTTAACAACAGGAAAAGAAAAATATTTATTAATTTAACAAATTATTACTTATGATTAATATAACAATGAAAACTTAAAAAATGCGTATAGCTTTGGAATGGAAAAAAATTTTAGTTTGAATAATTTAAAGTAAACATCCTCTGAAGGTCCACATAACATATTATTTGAATTTATACTTCAATTATTAGGACAGGATGTTCTTGTCTATAGAATTTTAGAAATTACATATTTCTATCAGATTTAATAGATTTAATTTATGTATATATGTAAAAAAGTCTTGAATAATGACAGCTGCTCAATGAGAATGGTAAGCAGAAAAGCTGTAGTTGGTACTACATATCATACATGAACACCACACACTGGACTAAGTGATTTATATCCTATTTATTCTTGTACCAAACTTATGATGTGGCATCTGACTGAAGAATAAAGACTTAGAGAGAGTAATGTGTCAAAGGCAAGCCAACTGGCAAGAAGTGGCAGCATTTAAACTGCTCTTAACTATTAAGCCATAGGTTCTCAAAGTTGGTTCTCATTCTTATATTAGTAAAGCTAATTCAAATATTCAATTCTCCTCTTTTCCCTCCATCAGTGTAATATCCAGTGCAATAATAATCTAGAAATGTTCTCTTATTTTAGTGATAATCTAAATAAATTCTATGTTGAATGTTTTCTAGATATAAAATTTTATTAAATAAAGCAAAAAATGCTATGAAAAATCATAAAATTAAAGCAAAATCCTAACTAAAATACAATGATATTTCTTTTCTGGTTTTAAAAGCTTGGGAATGAGAATGATTATTTACAAATTTGCAGAAAACCAGAAACAGGCCAAAAAAAGTCTAAATTAGATGTATCGATCAGTCTACTGATGAGAATTAAAAAGAAAAATTTCAGAAAAGTCCTTTCTAGACTTCAAAATGAATCCAACTGTCATTACTCTCTCCTCAACCATACATTAAAAAACAGAAGACAGTCCAGCCAGTGTTGCTCAGTGGACTGAGCGTCATCCCACCCAGTTCGATTCCCGGTCAAGGCACATGCCCAGGTTGTAGGCACACACCCTGGTATGGGGTGTGCAAGAGGCAGCTAATCGAAGTTTCTCTTTCACACTGATGTTTCTATCTCTCTCACTCCCTTCCCCTCTCTCTAAAAAAATTAATAAAAACATATTAAAATATAAAACAAAAACAGAAGACTAAACTCAATCAAACCAACAAATGCATTTCAAAAATGGCAGGCAACTTTTATCTCTTTATAAACAAACTATATAATCCTTAGCTCAATAATTCTATTATTACTATACATTTAACTGGTACATTTGCTAAATAAAATGCCTACTCACAGGTTACTTGCTCAGTATTTTCTTTAATAAATATATCTCAGTACAGACCACATGTGAAAATCTCACTATTTAAAAACTTACCTAAGTAAAAAAATAAAATCATATTAAGAAAACGTTATTCTAGGACTGTCATTTAGAAATAATGTTTTTAAATTCCTTTATTCCACAATGGTATTATTACTTTCAAAAATGAAAAATAAAACAATTAATTGATTATTACAGGTAGCATGTAACTAAATTGATGTGAATATAGGAATGCCTTTAAATAAAAGAAATAATATACTTCACTTATATTTTAGGGTTTCCCAATCTCAGTACTATTCACATTTCAGATAATTCATTATTGTGGGGACCTGTCCTGTGCACTGTGAATGTTTAGAAGCACCCCTGTCCTCTACCACTAGATGGCAGTAGTAACCCCTACCCTCAATATAAAGTCTAAGCAGACTGCCAAATATCCTCTGGGGGACAAAATTGTCCCCAACTGAGAAATAATGAATGGGTAAACTCAATTAAAACCATATTTAATTATTATCTCTCAAGAGACACAAATAGACAGTATAATTTTCTTCTATTCAAAGAGCTTGTAACTAAACATAGCAGTATCTATGTTAGAAAAAGCAGAATATGGCAAATAACCACAAAAAGTCACAAAGGAGCTATGGTGAGAATTTACAAATTAGATATGGTATATCTGGTTAAGAGAAAAGAGCAAAAAATTAAAAGAAAAATTAGCCTGACTTTGAAATTTATATGGATTTTTGATGCAGTGAAAGAGTGAAGTGTTCTAGCCGCTGGAAACTATATAAAGAACATGGAAGTGCGATATTTATTTTACACCCAGTTCAGTTTTCTAGGGAATAAGGTACCTACAGGAAGACAGTAAAGTAAAATCAGATTGGAAAGGTACTCTGAATTCCAGCTTTGTAGAGTAGCAGGCTGAGAAGGTATTTTTAAATTTAAAAGCAAAACAAAACAGTGGTTTAAAGAGAAGAGTAACAAGATTAGTGCTGCACATAAAATTAATCTGACAATGACATTCATGACGCACCACAACGCGGAGTGAACATGGCTGGAGAACAAGAGCTTATCTGTAAGTGAACTGTGAGATGGAATCACTTTTGGACAGGGTGACTCTACCTGAACAAGTATTAGATTGAATCATAAGAAATTTCAGAAATTCAACAAATTTCGACTTAAAAAATGAAAACTCTTTATGATCAACATACTAGAAAAATTTTGTAGGTAATTAGAAATGTGCATCTGGAACTCTAAAAAGAGGTTAAGGTTATAGATACATATGTAGCATTTTCAAAGAAATGCATGCTGTAAAGAATATTTTTCACTGTATACAAATATAATTGCTCGCCAAATTTAATTTCTTACCCATTTTGTGCAAGGTCTATCAGTACTAAATCCTTTTCTAGAAGAACCACCACAGCATATGGTTCCTGAAAATCTGGAATAGAAAAACAATGCATAAATAATAGTTCTAAATATGCAAGAAGATAGCAAATTATATAATAAATATTTTTGTTTGGTTTTCATTTTGCTCCATTTTTTCCTAGTATTTAACATTCCAATCTTGTACTTAATTTAAGGATAGTATTTTCTAAATGAAATAAATCTATATCATAACTCATACAAAACTATTTCAGTTTTGTAATGGGAAGACAAGATGCTCACAGTAACATCTATGGTATTGCAAATTACAAAGCAGGACATGGCCAACAAACTCAAAATTTAAATCTGAATATCCATGAGAACTCTCATTACTGGATATCTTAGGAACCCAATGGAGTACTATTATAATATTATAATCCTTATCTTGAACATTTTATATGTGCCAGCTAACTATAAAATGCATTACATCTTTACATTTCAATTAGCTTCACAGAAAAAAAAAAGATCCAGCTTTAAATTCCTCTTGAAGTTTATGTAAGTTGTGATGGTTAATTTTATGTCAATTGTCTTCACTGTGGTGCTCAGTTGTTTGGTCAAATACCAATCTAGACGTTACAGTGCAGGTATTTTATTTAGATGTGATTAATATTAAATCAGTAGACTGGGGAAAGCAGATTATCCTATATAATGTGGGTGGACCTCATCCAGTTAGTTAAAGGCCTGAAGGACAAATATAGGTTTTAAAAAAAAGCAATTCTGCCTCAAGACAGCGGAGTTAAAACTCAAGATTGCAACCTCAACTCTTTCCTGAATTTTTAGGCTGCAGGCTTGAAGTATAAATTTTAGACTTATCAGCTTCCACAATAACATGAATAAATTCCTTACATTCTCCCTATCTGTATTTAGATCTATCTCTAATGGTTGTGTTTTTCTGGAGAAACTTGACTAGTACACTAGTATTTTACAGAATATTAAAATATTTCTTCATTGATTTTAGACAGAGAGATACTGGGGGGGGGAGGGGCAGGGAGGGAGAGGGAGGAGAGAGAGGGAGAGAGAGGGAGAGAGAGGGAGAGAGACATCTACTTGTTGTTCTACCTATTTATGCATTCATTGGTTAATTCTTGTATGTGCCCTGACCTGGGATCGAACCTGCAACCTTAGCTCTATCCAAATGAGCTACCCAGCCAGGGCTAAAATGTTTCATAATGTGTCTAGTTTTGTTCATCCTACAAAGGCATTTACTACTAATATGTAATATGAAACAGATAAAGCTTCTTAAATAAAATTAACTTCTGAAATAAAATTTGCAAAGTTATGAAGATAGCATCTCCTCCCAGAAGAATGAACACAATACAAATAAGGAAACTACTAAGACAACATATAGGTCCTTGTTCTGAATATAGATATCTATATAGAATGAGCTTTAAAAATGCAAAACTTACCATTTGGGTATGGTGTTTCACAAAGAGTTAGAAAATCAACAATGGAATAGTCCATTTCTAGCACAGCAGTACTTTTCCCATGCATAACTGTTAAGCAAGGTCTTCTTCCTACAGTATCATATGACAAACCTCCTGATAAAATAATAAAAGGTTCCCTGGAAATAAAATACATAGTTAGGATTACAAATAGCATGGTGGAGACTAATTATTTTCTTGCTATATCATAATATTTAACAAAATAATCAAACCTTAAATTTTAATATTTTTATGCATCATTTAATTGAATATTTGCATGTGGGTTTTTAAACTGCACTAGGTAAGACCCAGGTGAATTCCTGAAAATTAACCGATAATAGGAAGAAACGTTGTCCACATTTGACTCTCAAAGTTTCTTTTGGTTCTTAAAATATTTTCCACTATCTTCTTTATACAGTACAGTTGTCAAAATTTTTTCTCTAGATTTCTGCTGCTAAGTCTCTTGAATGAACTTCCTTTGCTTCCGATCCTAATAGCCAGACCTTCCCAGAGAGAATGTTAATGCCCTAAAGCATCTATCATACATAATGAATTAACTTATCACTGATGCATCAAGAATGTAATAGCTAAATCACCCTTGAGAAAATAGTCACCCAATCATTTCTGCAGGGCTTAATTCTCTCCTGGAACCTTGGCTGGTTTGCTCTCAATTCCCAGTTCCCATGCACATCACTTAACGGCCAGCTTTCCACTTCCAATTAGCCCACAGCTCTGTCTCCCTACTACTCATCATTAAATTTTATGATTTTTTAGACCCACTTTTTAAAACTGCATATCTAAATATGCAAAACAGAAAAAAAACTGTCTTTTCATGTTTTGGTCTGGGTGCATTTCTTTATCCTTGACTTGCCTATTCATGTTTATTGTCCATGTCTTAGGAAAAGGATTAGCAATGTTTTTCTAATTGTTTTGTAAGAGGCCTTTGCATTGTACGGAAATTAGCTCTTGATCTGCCTCATGTGTTTTCATTTGTTGGTGGGAAGTTACTTATAGTACATTATACAGATGACATAAAATGTTCTGTACACGATTGTCTTAAATCTCTTAATTTATAATTTTTAGGTAGTTTCTTAATGCTTCCTCTATGACCAGTGTGTCTGTCTGCTTCCTCTTCACATATAGTCCAAGCAGTAGGTAATAATATGTAATAACTAGTTCTGGAACTAATGTGCCTGCATTTCTAATCTGAACTCTGGTTTTACTTTCTGCGCGATCTTGGACAAGGTACTTAACTTCTCCGTGCCTACCTTCTGCATCTATAAAATGGAGACAGAGTGATAAGTACCCTCAGACAATTACTGAATTAATTAATATATGCAAAGCAGTGGGATTGATGCCTAGCCCACAGTACACCCTCAGTAAGAGTTACCTATTATTGTCATCATATTATAATCATTATCACCCACTGTGAAAGCTTCCCTTCTTTGTGGTATGTGGAGGAAAAAAAAACTTCTAAATTATATTTATTTTTATCTAAAACAATAAATAAGGTCCACTAAAATTTACTTACGAGTACTAGTAGTATAGGAGTGTCATTTATAAGTAAATATAAGTGTTAGGTCAAATAACTTAATTGTTTTTTATATTTAAACATTTTACCTATTTAAAAAATATAAAATGTATTCTGTGTACATGTGTTTGTGTATATTTTCTTATTTAAAACTGTACCCTCGTGTATCCGTTATCCTTCTTTGCTTTATTATTTTTTCATAGCATTCATTACTAAAACTAATTTATTTATTTTGCTTGTTGTTCATCTTATGAAAAATGTAAGCTCCATGAGGATAACGGGTTGTTCATTGCTGTATCCAAAATAGTGCCTATTAGGTAAATGAATGAATGAATAGATATGTATGTTACCCTAATCACTGTCTAGCTTACTATCATTTAGGTTTTTGACTACTAAACTAATATAGGTAATCTTACTTTTTTCAGCTAAATGATAGTAGCCAGAGCTTAAAATTTTGTACCTAACAGAACTGCACCCAATACATTTATTATTAGCATACTGTGATCATGACAACTGTGGTCAGAAAAGAATATTTAATCTTCCACTTTTTATCACATAACATATAGAATATATCTTCGCTCTTCTGTACTTTGAAATACAGCATGCAACTGAATATAAAATACTATGAAGAAGGGTAAAGAGTACAACAATTTAAACTTTTATATAGTGGGAGGCCTGGGCCAGGTTATTTCTAGGTAATATTTCAAGAATAGTCTGATAAATGTGTTTTTACATACAGGCAACTTAAAAAAAATAAGTATTATTAAGATCAGAACCATGAACAGGGAGATGCTGAGTTAAGCATTAAAGAATAAAATTTCCATGGAGATACTGGGTAGGTACTGCCAGTAGATGACTCGGTTATTAGGCAGTTAAACTGTTAATATGGTATTAAATAGCACCATTGCAATTAGGTATGTTTACTCTCAAAAGACAACTAAGTGTTCAACGGCCTTGTAAACTGGCTGAATTTCTTACCAAATTTAGGAGAAAAAAGATACAATAATAAATATGGATAAGTACTTTTGATGCGGGGAAGAACACGCAATAATAAGACCACAGTTGTTTGATGATTGTTCACCTTACTAACTACAGGTAAGAGGTTTCTTACACACCCTGGGAAACAAGGATGTGCTGCAAGACGACAAATGGGGCTGTAAAGAAGATAAGATGCCTCAAAACCTGGATGGTCCATTACTCAGAAAAGAAAATTTTGTACCTCTGAGAACAAACAAAGGACAGGACATACTTTGATCTGGTTGCTGTGCCTCGCCCCTGGCCCCTCCAGGAGTCTGCTTCAGGAGTGCTGACCATTTCCTGGTCCCAAGAATGGGTGGAGTGTTTTAACATCATAGAAAATTAATGATTTTATTATCGAACTTCAAGATCCTGGAAGGAGACACATAGTCTACGGACCATATAGCCCTTACCTTGTCCCCCTTCCCCACTTGCATTCAGCCCCTTTCTTATTTATCTCTATATAACCAGTCCACTAATAGGAAGTGTGACAGATTTTCTCCCCACACTGCTGGCATTATTGGAATAAACACTCATATATGAGTCAACCCTTTCTCTGCTTAATTTGGTTCAAGTACTGACAGATGACCTTGGACCCACTGTGTCTGGTTTCAATTTGAAAAGTATACCAAGGTAACATCCTTTTCATGTTTCCCCAATCCATAAATAAATGCATATATGTATATATTTGTCTTTTTTTATTTTATGTTTTTTTAAAATCATCTAAGTTATGCAAGGCAGAAATCATCTAACCTATGAACCCCAGAAGTTTTATTTTATTTTGTATTATAATGCCCCAAACCAAGAAGAGTATTTATTCATATAGTGAACATTTTACAAGAAAAAATGTCATAAATAAGATAAAGTTAAATATTTTAACACTAAACTGTGAAATTATATTAATTAAATGTCTTTGTTGGCATTTGGATTTACATTTACTGTTCTAGGGATCTAGATTATTTCTAGAATAATATGTGAATTATGGAAATAGAGAATCTATTTTCCTTATTTAAGTGAAAGGTTAGCCTTTTTAATGTTATAATAAAGTAGAGAGGTAATATAATTTGATTCTAATATTTTAAGTAGAAGTCCTTTAAATGATGTAGGGTGTTACCCAAATCCTTCATTTTTTAAGACATCCAGGTTAGGAAGTTGTTAGTTTGGGCATTTTATAATTTTGATTGCAATTTTTAAGAGGCTTCAGGGAAGTATATATGTTTCCTTCTTCTGATTAACATCCCCAAGCTGACCCTGACAATAGCTTTGGCTGAAATTGTGTTTCTGTAAGAAGCATTTTTTTTTTAAATTTTTAATTTATTTTTTTGTTTTTGTTACAGATGGTTCTCATTTTTTTCCCCATTGACACCCTCCTCCCCTTCCCCCCAACCCTGTCCCAGCTTCGTTGTCTATGTTCATTGGTCATGCATACATGCATGTAAGTTGTGGTTTATTTCTTCCCCCACAAACCCCCCCTCCTCTGAAGTTTGTCAGCCTGTACCCTACCTCCATGTCTCTGGGTTAATTTTGTTCAGCAGTTTGTTTAGTTCATTATATTCCACAAATAAGTGAGATCATGTGATATTTGTCTTTCTCTGCTTGGCTTGTTTCGCTTAGCATAATACTCTCCAGGTCCCTCCATTCTTTACTTAAAGGAGGCATTGCTACCCAAAAAGCCATTTGCATAACCAACTTGCTCAACTCAGTTCCATAACACTACTCATACATTCATTCATTCATTCATTCATTCATTCATTCATTCATTCATTCATTTTTTGAGCACCTGTATTCCCCAAGAATAAAACAGTGCTCTCATGTCTAGTCTAGACAAACAGTAAACAAATTATGACAAGTGTTATGAATAAAATGAGATAGAGTCACAGGATGAATGTGATTTTAAGACAGAGTGATCAGGAAAGGCCCCTATAGTAATGACAGATGAGCTGAAACCAGAATTAAAGAAGAGCTAGACATTCAAAGATCTTGGGGCTGGGGAAGAAGGATGTACACTCTAGAAAGCAGGAATGACCACTGCAAAGACCCCAAGTCACGAATGAGTTGAGTGTATTTGAGGAACTAAAAGGCCAGTGTGGCTGCAACATAGTGAGTAAAGTAATACATAGTAATATATGATACAACCCCAAATCTTATAGACACATCCCAATTACTCTATTAGGGTCTCAAGAACCTGTCTCCCCCATTTCATCTCTACAATTACTTTAGTTCCGTCCTGAATAACCTGCAGCTTATATTATTACAGTAGCATTTGTACAAGTTTCTCACTAAGATAAACTTCCCCTCATTTTGTTTGGGTAATTCCAATTTCTCATTTAAAACTCAGTCCAATCATTACAGTCTCAAAAAACCTTTTCTGACCCATCCACCCTGAATAAATTGGATGCCCTTCCTATGTTTCTAAGCACATTCTGCATACCTCTTTCCAGCAGTTACCACAGTTAGTTGTCATTGTTTATCTGCTTTCCCTTTGTACTGTGAGCTCCTTCAGGACACAGAATGTATATTTTACCTCTGCACTTCAAAAAATGTTGGTCAAACATACATTTTAAGTACCACTAAATCTGCCCTGCCAGTGTG